TATATATAGATGTCTCATAAATCACTTGATGAATTTTAATAAAACTTGCAGAAAGTAATGAACCTTAATTATATTTTGGAGACAGTCTGATTCAAGATGCCTGCAACAACCAAATAAGCTTACAGATATTGAGCTAACGTTTAAAATGGTAGTAGCTGAGAATCATTCAAAACACATATACTGAACATTTAACCAAAGTTTCTCAACACAAGATAATCTTGATTTAACACGGGCATAAAAGACAGCGGGTGATATGCATTCCTTTAAAGAAACGCTAGACCTTTAATTTTCTCTTGGTTACTGAGCAATATGCTCTTTAAAGTTTTGTTTTTTTTAATGTGCTCAGATGTGGTGATGTAGTATTTTACTGACAGAAAACAGTTGTGGTAACCCTCACTGAATGATCACAGCTCTTTAATGACCATCATGACCATTTGGGGGGAATTTTAGCATAAAAACAAAACAAAAAAAAACATTGATGTAATAAACAAAATTCCATCCAACCATTCTTTCCGCAACATAACTTTATTTGTTTTGCTAAAAATTAGCCTTTTTTGCTGATTTAATTTTTTATCGAACATCATCTATTAATGTTACTTTTTGTCAAAATTACTTATTTTCAAAAAGAAATTTCAGGTTTTTGTTATCAAAATAAACGTTTGAGCATTATTTGTTCAAGAAGTGCTGCCTTTGAAAACACCTGCAGTACCCGTGGATTCATAAAGTGTTCAAATATCACAGTATTTTTATTCCACTCAAGTTATTTGGTGATAACTGGCTTGAAGACAGAGCTATGCTTGATGCGGAGAACGACATCATCACAACACAGCTTTCAAAATTTAAGTGGCTTGGCAAAAAATGAAATAATAAAAATAAAGAAACTTCTGAGAACTTTTCAAAACATTCTTGTCAAACACTTGCTCATAATGCTTGCAAACTAATCACCAAAAGTTGCAGTCTAGTGAGAAGATGGCTTAAATATTTATAAGATAGTGTTTGCATGAACCGCTATGGAAATTTTGAGACTATAACAGATTTAGAATAAAAGCAATTGGTCTTGGTGTCACTCAGACTACTCTGAAACTGGGAAATCTGATCAGAATTAATTAATCTTTTTTTCCCCTCCAAACTGAATTCACTCAAAAGCTCTATCTACAATAGGTAAGATATTTACTGTTCACATCCTTTTCACTGAACTCACTTTAGGAGATTTGAACTATCTCTTTAATGCTGCCTGTGTTTGTGTCATAAAAGGCACAGGAATGAGTAGAATCTGTATACATGAAGAAGCTCATAAATGCTTGTGTGTGTGTCGTGTGTATGTATATGTATGTGTGTGTGTGTGTGTGTGTGTGTGTGTGTGTGTGTGTGTGTGTGTGTGTGTGTGTGTGTGTGTGTGTGTGTGTGTGTGTGTGTGTGTGTGTGTGTACCTGAGTTAGTCCGGCTTTTGCTCAATAGGATCAGTGTGAATCAGACTGAAGTAAGAACTGACACTTCAGACTTAATTTTATAAATCTAGGGCAAAAAGAGTTATACAAACCCACACATACCCACAGTTGCCCACACGGGGACAGTCAGATGATGAGACAATGTGTTTTCATACATCAGTGTTGGAGTGTGTGTGTCTGTGTGTGTGTATGTGTATCTGGCAGCAAAGCTGGAATCATGAGCTTCTTTAACACCAGCACTGAATAACTCAGTTAAATCTGCTCAGTCCCCCAACACTCCGTCTCTTCCTCCACCTCTCATCACTTTCGGCATCGTTTCTTTTTGTGGTTGGACAGATACTCGTGGAGAAAACAAAGACATGTTGGGACGGGACCAAGAGATCGGTTATAAATATATCAACGCCGGATAGAGATTAAGTTCAGGATTTGCGGCTTCTGGTTTCGACTTGAATCCACTGAAACGGTTCTGCGGTTATTAAAGTGAAAACAAGTCAGTTGGCAAAACAGCGTGAGCAATAGGGTATAATCTTTTTGTTCGCTCGCTGATTAAAACTCATGGGGGATTTCCCTCTCTTGCTCAAGGACACATAAGCAGCCCTGTAGTCATGAGATCCACCCCACGCCCCACCCTGCCTGATTGGACTTTGACACAGACGTCATTAACCATACACATGTTCAACATCACCGCAGCCACATCTGAGAGGTACGGTTTGCTAAATAGGAACGAGGTGCTGGTAGTGGTTTATGCGGTTTAACAGCATTAGTGCGTACTTAAAGGGTCGCAGGAGTCTCGGTGTCTAAGCCCGTCTCTTGGATTAGCTCAACGGTCGAGGAGAGCCGTGCACATGACATCTGAGTACCACCACGCGCGCGCACACGTACACACGCGCTTTTGAAAAACTTTGCATCTCTTCACACATAGAGATCGCAGTCATACAAATTGTTTGCAAATGAAAGAAGATTGTAACGTCAGATCAGCCCACAGAAACATGCGCCTGTAGACGAACGTTCATGCACACCTTTACCTCGCGCGCGTGCACCACGGTGAAACACACAAAGTGCTATTTGCATTCTCCAGGACCATAACAAGGTTTTGATTATCACCCCTGGTGGGTACTTCCCCTCTGAGCCTGTTTGCATGGCTGTTAGACAAACTGGGTGTTGGTGTATCCAAAGAAGGATCTTTGTTCCCCRTTTTTTTTTCTTCAAGCAAAAGGGCCAGCCATAAAAAAAAAGTGCTCACATGGACAAATAATTGGCTGTTAGTGCTTGGTAAAATACACAAAACCATACCTGATGGGCTTGAATGCTCCCCTGACACCTCCTTCCTGTCACACACCCCACAAGTGTAGCCTTGCAAACAAAACAAACAAATGCTGTGGGCAACAGCAAAAAAAAAAAAAAAAAAAAAGATCATGAATAAAACATGTGTGCAAGTACACCGGCAGGCTAATGCAGCCACGCACCAACAAAAAGAATGCATTTAAACGAGAAATATTGTCGGAAGGTCGGACGCTGCAGATCAACTCTATCATTCATGCCGCACTCGACATGAAAGAGGTTTTCGTGGCTGAGCAACAGGACGGCTACAACTCAGCTTTCTGTTTTATCCTTGTTGAAGTGAAGAGGAAAACTAGAGGAAAGTACATCAAAAAGAATATCTAGATCAAACAGGTGGATCAAAAAGACAGATCGAAGCTGCCCGCTGGTAAAAGTTAAAAAAAGAAAGTTTGACTGTCTGCTTTAGACTTTGAACATTTGTAGCTGCTGTAAATTCATATGGAATATATTAGCTGAACATAAATGTCCAAAAGCCTTCATAGCAGCCACAGAATAGTTCAAGACAAAAGGAGAAACCTCAGTGCTTCAGGAGCTTTTACATCGTGATGCACCGGGTGGATCACTTTATCAAGAGCCCTGAAGACATAAAGACATACAGATATTAATTATTGTGTTCATTTTGAATGATATTTGGCCTCTTTTTTTTTTGATAAGCGCTAGAGTGAGCTATATGCAGTAAAAGAGCGTTTTAGAGTAGGTAAGTGTTAGTGATGATGAAAGTGATACAAACCAGCAAACAGTTTTAGCTGAGGTTTCTCTTGACCATGAATGCACAAATTAAAACAACGAATCTCTTGGTCTACAAACCACATGTTAATTTTGTTAAAGAATACTTGTTATGCAAAATCCCCTTTTTAGTCTCTAACATTACTGCATAGATATCTTTATATTCTTTTTAAGTCATATTTTTCAGTTTTCTCTATTTTCCATGACATTTTTTTGAACTATTAGGTCACATTATTTGCAACGGAATTGTTAAATTAGGTCTGGCCTTACCAACTATAATTTGTCGTCTTCATTCAGATGACATAAATCCACCATGGATCAAGCCTCATGAGAAGATCTCACAATTCTCCAAACTGAGCCTGTCGTGACTCCTGTCTGCTGCAGGTAAGACACTGACKACTCATAACATTAAAACCCACTCCAAAAATTGCAAACCCATGTCTTTAAATGATACACATAAGCATGCTTCTTTCAATGATCTATTAGGGAGGAAAAAATATCCTGTAAAGTTGTAGTAGTTGTAATTAGTAATCCTAATTTTCCTCATTTTATCATTTGGTCAGATGAGATTCCTTCTTCGCTACCTTTTTGTGGTGAAGGAGTTTGTGTGCCTGAAAGATTCTAGGAACTCTGCTGTTGGGTGCTAATGCCAGAGTCTCCCAAAGCAGATTGGCCTGTAAAAGTAAGTAAGAAGTAAGTGGAAAAGTAAAAAGTAAAAGTAAGTAAGTAAGTAAAAGCAAGCAAGCAAGCAAGCAAGCAAGCAAGTAAAGTCAAGTAAGTAAGTAAGTAAGTAAGTAAGCAAGCAAGCAAGCAAGCAAGCAAGTAAGTAAGTAAGTAAGTAAGTAAGTAAGTAAGTGAGTTAGTAAGTAAGTAAGTAAGTAAAGTAAGTAAAGTAAGTAAGTAAGTAAGTAAGTAAGTAAGTAAGCAAGCAAGCAAGCAAGCAAGCAAGCAAGTAAAGTCAAGTAAGTAAGTAAGTAAGTAAGTAAGCAAGCAAGCAAGCAAGCAAGCAAGTAAAGTAAATAAGTAAGTAAGTAAGTAAGTGAGTTAGTAAGTAAGTAAGTAAGTAAAGTAAGTAAAGTAAGTAAGTAAGTAAGTAAGTAAATAAGTAAGTAAGTAAGTAAAGTCAAGTAAGTAAGTAAGTAAGTAAGTAAGTAAGTAAGTAAGT